CTTGAGATACCCCATCAGGCGTACAAGATCATTATAGTGTGCGCATGCCCTTCTAATGTCGTCGAGTAAGCTCGACGACAAGACGCTGGTACTCAGCGTGGTGACAGTGGTGTTCACATCACTGTCGGATTGCACAGGCCGCTCTAGGTCAGGCCGACGTGAAAGAGCATCGGCGACGACATTAAGTCGTCCCGGCTTATACTCCACGGAGAAGTCGTACTCCGCGAAGAACGACAACCATCTCGCCATTCGTTGCGAGAGGTGTGGACTATTTACAGCCGTGCGTAGTGACGCATGGTCTGTATATACAATGAACGGTCTATCTCCTAAGAGATAGACGCGAAACTTAGCCAGTGCATACTTCATGGCAAGGAGTTCCTTGTCATGCACCGGGAATTGCGCTCGGCCGGTTGCAGCTGACGAGATTGATAACAGACGACACGCTCTGCGCCGGCTGTATCATATTGCATCAGTGCGCAGCCGATTGCAAAATCAGGCGTCATAGACCACATGAAATGGTCTGTCTTGATCGGAAATCGCCAATAATGGCGATTGCATCAAGCTTTGCTTAATACGTTCAAAGGAACGCTGACAATCAGCGTTCCAGTTCCACTTTACATTTTTCTTGAGTAAACAAGAAAGATGTACTGTCATTTCGGCGTAATTGCGCGAGTACTTGTGCAAGTACGCTGCTAGCCCAAGGAACTTCCTTAGTCCCTTGACATCAACTGGCACTGGCCAGTCGGTGATAGCCTTGATCTTCTCTGGATCAGGGCGTACGCCGTTCTTTCCGACGATGCACCCAAGAAGTGGTATTTCACAAGCCGCAAATATACACTTCTTGAGGTTGGCGTACAACTTATGCTCGCGCATAAGTGTAAGAACCTTACGGACGTGGAGTCTATGGACTTCTACGTCTGTTTTCCCGTCCATAGCCCGACTATGGACGAACACATCATCGAAGTAACTCGGTGCGAATTCGCGCACCGGTCTCAATAGATGTGAGACACATCTATTGAATGTGTCTGGTGCATTACTGAGCCCTTGCGGCATCATCAACCATTCCCAGAGCATACCACTGGGAGTGCTCACTGCTGTGTACGGGATGTCCCGTTCACGTATTAGGATCTGATAGAAACCATCCATCAGATCCATGGACGAAAAGATGGTACTCTTAGACATACCATCTATGATTACGTCCTTTCTCGGTATCGGCGTTTGCGCCGGTATCGTTGCAGCGTTCAACTTGTTGAACGCGTGCACTATCCGCCACCCTCCTGTGGCCTTACGCACACAGAAGGTCGGAGAGATGTGAGGTGAAGTTGACTCCCTCACATGGCCCGCTGCTAGGCGATCGGCAAAGAACTTGTCGATCGCCTCGACCTGTTCCCGAGGCAGTGGACACTGCTTCATGACACAATATTTTGTGCCAGGAACAAATTCGATCTCGTGTCGAGTACCTTTATCCTTAGGCAACTCGCACGGAACGGATTCAGGGAATACATCCTTGAATTCGACCAAATCCTTGTACAAAGGATTTGACTTCAGCGACTCCCAGGATTGCGATGTATATCGTTCAATTCGAGTCTTCTCAACAAGGACACTTTCGTCCATTGGGGAGATGCTGAGAACCCGTTCGTTCTCGGCAAAAAATGTTGCTGACCGAATGTGAGTCATGTACTCGTCCTCTGCGACGAGCACACAGATCTGCTTGACTTTTCCACTACGCAGACCACGCAAGAACCTTTTAGGTTCTAGCGTAGGCAACGGAGTTATCTCTGAAGTTAATTTCGGAGGCGCGATCAGATCAAGCGTATAAGCGCCTACGTTTTATCCGTCATTAACCAAGACGTTCAACGTCTCGGTTACTTCCTGGGGACTTATTCCCTCAAGGCACTGGGGACTTATTCCCTCAGTGATTGTATCCTGGCGACATATTCTCGCAGGCTCGATGGAACTTGTTCCATCGACTTCCTCTAGCTGTGGTAGCGCAACCACAGCGAGATCCTCTATCATCAACTCTCCAGTTGATCTAGGATAACCGTGTTGCCGCTTCTGGGCAACCGGTTTACTCTTCGGTGAATTTTGCCCTCTAGGCGAGCATTCATGTCCCGGTCCACTCGACTTATTCGAGTGGTGGACCTTCGGCGCTGCCTGTGCTTGTGCACAGCCGACGGCAGCTTGCTCCACAGCGTGACGGATTGTCAAGCTGAGTTCTTGTGCAGTCGTACTAACGACCGAACCACAAGTGAGGCCATCACACTACATTCACACGCTTGTGAACGCTCCAAGACGTTTATCAGATGGCCATCTGATGAACAAGCGGCAGACATCTTCACGGCTCGATGCTGCCAGCTGACCCATGACTCGTACCTTCTGAGCCATGGTAACCCTAGGATGACATCAAATTTGTCATCCAGATCAAGTACGATGAAACCATCATCGTACTTTTTGCCTTCAAGCGTGTAGTGAATTCCCACTACACGTTTCTTTACTGTTACGGATGCGCCAGTTGCAAGGCGCACCGTCATCCTCGTTGGAGGGGTCTCGCGCTCAACATATTTGAGCCTACGATCATCTAGCGATTGGCGTCGAACAAAATTGTTCGAAGCCCCACAATCAACTAGGGCGCGAAGTGACATGTTCTTTGTCACTTCGATCTTCAAGGTGATGAGGGATACCTCATCACTGGGAGCGGCAACACACAGTGACTGTGTGTTGGGAGCAACCTTCGTCAAGAGTCCCGCGAACTATCTTGACGTTGCTGGATCAGTAGGGCGCTCCGCCCCTACTGACCCCGACCGTTTTTTGATGGTCCACCACGTATTTGCGATTTCGCAGCAACGTGGGACCCACGTCTCTGGCCCTTCTTGGCAGACGGTTGATCGTCACTCCCAGTGTTACGAGACACTGGGCGTGGGGCACTACACTCATAAGCGTAGTGGCCCAACTTCTGACAGCGATTGCACTTTTGCAATCGCTTGTACCCTGGAGAGCGAGGTCGCTCGCTCTCTACATAGGAAAGGTTCATTGGCTCTGGACCTCCGCCCTCCTGTCGTCTCGGTGGACGATAGGATCCCGAGTGGACGTGAGCCTGTTGTAGGCTAAAGTCCTCCTGTTCCGCTGCTGAGATCGCTTGATCCAGCGATTCTAGTTCCAAGCGGAACAGGTGGGTCTTGACAGGATCATCTGTCAGACCCTTGATGAACACAGTAACCTGCGTGTGTTCATCGATTGGGTTCAGTACGATACAGCTAACGAGGTATCGTACGTGTTGGGCGTAAGCGTGTATATCACGCTTACCCTGTTTTAAATCCAGGAGCTCAACCCGAGCCCTGAATTCGTCGCGAGGCGGTTCAAACGTGTGTTTAAGCCGCGCCTTGAAGACGTCATACGTTGGGAAAACGTATGGGTCGTGCAGTTTGAGCCCTAAGGCCCAAGCTTTGGCACGTCCAGCCAAGTTCGACATGGCGAACTTGACCTTCATCGCATCGTCATCGATGCGACGAGCTTCAATGGCATCGTCGAGCTCGACGAACCACCTTATCAAGGAGTCTCTTTCGACTGCCTTGTACTTGGAGACATCAATCTTCAAGGACTCGGGTCGACGCGCATACGCCGACCCGGCAGCAACAGCACTAGCCTGCTGTTGTCTCAACAGTTCAAACTGTTGAGCACCCTGCTGCATCAACAAGTCAGCTTGTTGAGCGCCTTGTTCTCTCAACAGTTCAACCTGTTGAGAACCTTGCTTCTCTAGCAAGGTGAGTTTCTTTACAACTTCGTCAAGTTCATGTTGTATGAACTTGGCGATGGTTGCATGTTGGTCGTCTCCGCTAAGAGAGAGCAACATGGCACCAACGGCAGGGTTGCCGATGGTTTCAGCCATACGCTGAACCGCATTCCATTCGAGGTCACTCAAATGGCGGAAATCATCACGCGTTGCGTGATGAAGTTTATCACCCGCTGATTCCATAGCGGATGGTGCGGTGGTCGCTGAACGGACCACTAAGTGCTACCAGGTGTAATGGGGCACCCTCCGACTAAACTGATTACAGTATAGTCTACTTTCACTGATTACAGTGAAAGCAGGTGCCTCAGAACCTCACGTAAACGTGAGCAGAGGAAGCTTATCAACTAAACAAACGCTTAGTTGAAAGGGAAAAGAAAACTGTATTTAATATAGTTAATTATCTAATAAAACTAATCTGTTATAACCTATGTTAACTATATTAAACTACAACTATGTATATTGACGACTTGCCCTCCACTCATTGCGCGCGTCCATCGGTCATTGGTCAGCGCGTTGGTTGATATGATGGCCCATATCAACCAATGAGAGGGCATCTCCAACTTCAAGGAGATCTAGGAACAATATTATTAGAAAAGGTAATATTGCCAAAATATTATTAGTTATAATATTTTTTTATTGACACTTCACATAAGTGTCAATATTATGTAACGGGCTCACCCGTTACACCCAGCCGCTAGTCAAGCCGCCACGATGTACGCCGCCACGCCCGTAGTCCCAAAGTTCCGGCGTCTCCACTTAGGCACGCTCGCGTAATCCTTTTTATCCGATGCAAGCAACAAGAGACCCTCCCTGGGTGGGACCTGTTGACAAGATAGACATCCACGCCTTTCAAGCAAAAAAAAACTACCACTGGACACCGCCGTCGACTGGCCCCAGACCTGCACCTCCTTCGCGTGTGTGCAAAGGATCGTGCAGCCTGGATGGCCTTCAGCGCGGCGCTTATAGCGCGCGCTGCTTAATGGACCCTGGCGAGAGTAGAGAGAAATGTTGAGAATGAGAGATAATTTGACGCATGCGGAAGTTGAGCCACTTTGGTGGCAAGACGGCTCGCGTAACGCGTTTACATTACATTAGGCACAAGTCGACACGTAATCAAGTCAGCATTACACACAAAGACTATAAGTAGTTTTAAAGGTTTTACTGCAAGTACTATACTTGTTAGGTACAGCGTATGCTGCAATTGTCAGGTCTAGGCCGTGCGCTGCCGCTTAACATCATTTTTCTTACGCAATAAAGTCGTTTGAAAGACGTTCGTACGACCTTCGTTCAGAACAAACTCCCTGCGCTTCCTAACCTTCTTCACCTTGCCCGTGTCAAGATTCTCATCCCAGTAGTCCTGGCGACCGACGTTGCGGTGTTTCCATTCCTCCTGCTTCAAAGCATTCAGTACCCGATCGTGCTTTGCAGCCAACTCTTTGTCAGCCATCTCATGATGTGGCACCGCGTCGCTACTGCTTGTCGTCTTGGAGGACTCGACGTCCGTCTCGCCAGCCCATTTGTCCACTTCACGACCAAAAAGCGCCGCGGTTCGTACACCCACTTTCTTATAATGCTGTGGGTCAAGTGGAACTCGTCTAGTACTTGTCGGTTTTACTAATGAAATGACAGCATCTTTCGTCAGTGCGTCTACTTCGGGATCAATTGGTAGCTCGTCCACCGATCGAGTCATGAACAGACGCGGGCAAGTTTTCCACGTTGCCAATCTATACTTATACAATCGACCAACACGACCACCAAAGCTAGACGTTAATGAGTGCTTCATTCGGTGACGGGCAGCAAAGGTTAATGGAGACACTGACGGCATTGACGTGACTTTAAATGTCACTACCGCCTTAACCTTTTCCGGAATCACAACCAGGGGTTTGTCAACGTCGGTAGCATCAATCGGATTAGCCACCGTCGTCTTTAGACTGGCGAGAAAGCCATTCATGTCCAATTCCTTCGTTTTCATCATTACTGGTTTTGTCATTTTCCCAGATACTTCTTCAAATTGTTTCGTCTCCATCAATTCTTTAGGCTTTTTGAGCGTAGCTTCTTCGTATTTCGGCTTTGGACGTTCAGATGGAGGTAACACTCGCGAGTAAAACAACATGTACGCCTTTTGCTGTAACACAGTGTCTACACTCACCCAGCGCACAGAATCATCGTTCATTTCGTACCATTGACTGGACGATCCTTTCACAAAGGCGTAGTAATGTCCACAATCCGTAGAAAATCCAGCATGGACCAAAACTGCATACAATTCGTATTTTGTACGTCCACGACGACGATCTTCGCATGTTTTACTCATTCCTGGCGCAATGTCAAGTACACGAGGAAACTCGATATGCCGCTTGATTTTACCAAACATGTGGTCAAACCTCTTTAACTGAATCACTAAAACGTTCGGGCCCTCAGCAATTGTCAGCCCCTTTTCGGCACGACTTGGTTTGCCGCAACTAGAACATTTCCACGCATTGCGGTCATCCAATTTTTCAATGGCCGTAAAGTGTCGCAACGCACCTTTGATACTCTTGACACCATTGGAAATTTCCAACGACAAGTCTAAAAAGTCGTCAAAACGTTCCGAAATATACCCGCATTTTGCACATTTAAGCAAACTTTTCAGTTTGCCACCAAATACGCGATGCACAAATGTTGTAGATGCTGCTGAATCACTTTCACTTTTGATGTGAGCTTTTCGTAAACACGAACGTTGCATTGAATCCAACAGCAACCGAAAAAATTCATGCGAATCTTCCTGTCGTCCAATACGAAAACCTTTGGAAAGGTGACGAACATTCATCACCAATTCTTTTGGTTGCAATACGCGCACGGTATTGTTGCCATGCACGGAGTGCAACAGTCTCGACATAGCACGAACACTGCAAAACCCACCATCATTCTCATTGCCACGAAATCCATTTTTACCCCCAACCTTCTTACCATATTTAAATGACGTGTTGTTGCTACTGGACGGTAATGCACCTCCGTTGAACGACGCAAAAACCTCCTTGTCCAATAGGAGCTGAGCAAAACACGGAGTGTAGGTCAGACACTGCAACACAGAGTTAAGGTAACATGTGTTACCGAGATTGGCAAAACCTGGACCGATTTTCTTTGAGTATTGCCAGGTTACCACTCTCTCAACTGACTCGACAGTAGTCAATTGTTTCGTTTCTCTTGTCTTGGATTTCTTGTTTTCAGTTGAGTTGCCATCCAATCGACCAATCACACGTACGTTCTTGGCCCGAACGAAAGAAATGCGACGTTCATTTACTAAAACAACAGCCGATTTGCATTGCACCTTGAATGGAAGCGTGCCTTTGGCTGAAGTTAAAGCGTCAGTTTCGTCTAGAGACTTCACGTCATGCACTGCTACTTTTGCAGGTTCAAAGACCGAGGAAGGAAATGATGGTGATCGAACCGTCGGGGTCAGCTTTGGGGCATGTGCGGCCATAACCAGCATTGGGATTAATGTGCCCAGCGACTGGAAGTAAAACCTGACGACTGGTTGGTCTGAAACGCGCGAATGGATGAGTCCGTTTTTTTTACCTAGAAAAATGGGTCAAAAAGATAAAGTAGGTACGAAATGATTTAGCCAATGGGTTGCTAGTTGCATGACTCTGAAAAATGGCACTAAAAGCGATTGTAAAATACGAGTTAATCTTCAAGATTCAATGCTAAAAACATGACGCCTACTTTTTAAGCGCAGCCTCGTTTTATGCGTCTACAGCGAAAGATGCTAAGCCATTGCTGGTGTAAGTCTACCGAATACATTTTGATTCTTCTTTGGATACTGCTGGCGCTGCAGGTTTTCCAGTGTCAACATTGTAATTTAGTGAAGTGTCAAGACCTCTTTTCGACTATCGCCTGAATCTACTAAGTGTACTAAACAATCATTGATCCATTGAAACCCTGCAAGACCTGCTGGTTTGTAAGCATCAACCATCGTTTTCAGATCTTTTTCATCATTGCGTAAACATCGTTTATTCATAAGCTCGTGGAGTGTCTCCGATAGAATGCACCATTTTCTATCTGTATGCTAGGTCAAATTTCAGTCTCATCCGCCGGTCTATCATTGAAGGCTTCCTACTGCTAGAAAAAATGTGCTTGTGTTTCCGTTTGCATTTTTGCACCTCCTATCCCTTCACGCATTTCAGAAGAGATGCGAGCCCTCCACCGGGGCTCAGTAAGGAGGTACGCCTCCTTAGGCGCTCTTGACGAGGTGCTCAGGCACCCCGGGCATGGGTCGCCACAAGAGAGGCATAACAGGCCTGCCTCTCTAGATAAACGGTGCAAACGATAGCATGCACCGGACGTACTTCGTTTCTCAAACTTATTGCGGCTAGCAAAAAGTCTTTAAAACCAAGCCTCTTTCCCAACGTTTAAAACGTTGGTGATAAACGCGTTCCAAGATTGTAGGAACGCGTTGGCCTCACGCTTCTTGTGTGGGCCATACCATCGATGTTCAAGGAACACATCGATGTAATAATCGTTCTCAGTGCGAAAGTTTTTCGCACTGGCGTCAAGGCCATGAAGCTTTGACGCATCAAACAACGGTATGGGGAAACGTTCGTTGGTCTTTCCAGACCAACGATCAAGCAGATGCTTAGGTAGCATCCATGGCTTGCGATCAGGAGCAAGACGCAATACGTTGCGGTATAAAGCCTCCTGCGTGGTGTCAACAGAAGTACCGACACCACGAGAATTAGTGTCAACAGAAGTACCGACACTATGAGCATTGATGTCAGTAGAAGCACTGACATCACCCTTACGGTCCCCACCCGAGTCACTATCCTTCGACTCGTTTGGCGAGTCGTCTGATTCATCAGACGACCCGAACATTTCACGGTACACTGATTCACTCAATGTACCACGATCCCTCTTCGTAACATTAGACGACGAGGTATCACCCTGGAAAGAGCCCGGGAGTGGAACAGGTGACTTTGAGCCGGATGCGTCATCCGACTCACTAGAGTAGTCAACGACTAACTCTTGGTCAACTTCTTCACGTGGCGAAGCGCCACGTGAACCTGCAACAGGCGTTGCAGGCTGATGTTGACTTCCAGCAGACACATTAGTGTCTGCTGGCTGAGGCTGTGAAGCCTCAGTAGCGGCTGCACGCCTGTGTGCAGCCGAGCTCTTGGCTGCCTTAGCAGCGACGCGCATTGACTTTGTCATAGCGTAATTGTTGAATGAAAGAAAATTCAACAAGTGCTCCTTTCCCATAGTCACTAATGTGACTGTTGGTTGAGGGGGGGGGGTGTAACGGGGTGAGCCCGTTACATAATATTGACACTTATGTGAAGTGTCAATAAAAAATTATTATAACTAATAATATTTTGACAATATTACCTTTTCTTATAATATTGTTCCTAGATCTCCTTGAAGTTGGAGATGCCCTCTCATTGGTTGATATGGGCCATCATATCAACCAACGCGCTGACCAATAACCGATGGACGCGCGCAATGAGTGGAGGGCAAGTCGTTAACATACATAGTTGTAGTTTAATATAGTTAACATAGGTTATAACAGATTAGTTTTATTAGATAATTAACTATATTAAATACAGTTTTCTTTTCCCTTTCAACTAAGCGTTTGTTTAGTTGATAAGCTTCCTCTGCTCACGTTTACGTGAGGTTCTGAGGCACCTGCTTTCACTGTAATCAGTGAAAGTAGACTATACTGTAATCAGTTTAGTCGGAGGGTGCCCCATTACACTGGGGGTGAGAGCGGCAAGAGAGAGAGGTTTGTGAAGGGAAAGGGCCGTCCAAAACTGACGGATGCCGCGGAAGCATCCGTCAAAGGCATGAGCTAGCTTAAAGCTAGCTCAAGCCTTCCGGGAGGGCGTTATTTCAACCCGACCAGGATGATTTGTGCCTATTACCAATATAAAAAGGGCAAATCTGATGAAGTTTTCACAGCCACTTGGTCGTTAGAGCGACAGTCGGAATAACGTAAGCAATTGAAGGTGATGACGAGCTGCAGATACAACACCTGTACTGTTTGCTGACGACAGACACATTTGATAAAGACCTGCAAGTCTGGAACATGATGATATGACGCTTGATTACATGACGCCCGATTTAGTTATCGTCTGGCCACAGATGACGATAACTGAGAGTTATACAATAGCATCACTGATGATATTTTTAACGTGACAATGCTAGTAGCAACCGTAGTTTAAAACACAGACCTAAAAGCTGGACTTCGAAAAATGCAACAGCACATTCACATTAATGAGGATGACGCCAATCTGGGACTAGGCGTCATCAAAGAACGTCAGTCAGTTACATCATTAAGCGAGATTGAAATAGTAGCGATGCGCATGTGCAGAGATGACACACATAATTACATACTAAACAATCAGTCGTTAGATTTATATTTAGTTAAATCTTGAATGTACATCAGTCTTGAATTTGTTAACTACCTCTCACTGCGCGCAAGAAGCTGATAAGATTCTGCGTGTCGTAGGTGTATCCCTTGTTTAAAAAGTTCGGTGCGCGGTTCGCTTTGGTGAACGGAAACTGTTGGTGCGACCGCTTTAGTGGTCGACCAAACACCTCACCACCGCGCACGGAGGTTAGACGGTTTGACCGCGTGGTGGAGTAGGCTCTCAAAATTGTAAGGTGAGACCCTAAACCACTCGCTTTGCAGGACTGTCGACTGTCGGAGGGGGTACCCCGATGCCGCGTATGAACCTTCTCTCGCCTTGTGTACCCGTCGGCTGGCGGGTTGCACTACTCGGAAGACTTGATGAAGATGTAGACGTCTGCCTTGAGGTGGGGGGCCTCGAGTGGATTTTCTTCACTCGGTCGGCCGGTAAGTGGCCACTCGATCGACCTTGTCGAGAGTGGACTTAGAGCCAAATTCTTCAGGGCCGCTTGTCGTCCCTGGCCTTTTCCTTCTGTTTCAGGGGTATTAACCACCTGACCTTTACTTTGCTCCCGGACCGTGAGGTAAGGGAGACCTCTTCCGATAGCGGGTATTGGGGGGTGTTGCTACTCGAACGAGCTCACAGGCCAAATATATCCTGGAGCTCTATTCGCATTTGAACTTCGCTACACAACTGTCTTCGACGGGGGGCCAAAATATATCCCTTCCCGGAACAGTGAGTAACTTAGAACAAGTCCTTCTTGGGTGACGGAGTCTTTGCCACGTAGATCGCAAATTGAGTAGTATTTAATATAGTCCTATCCTTTTAACTCCTTTACTCTATCCTTGCCTGAAGCTCTGATTCCTTGCGTTGACGGGTCTGATCCTTGTGTTAACTGGTCAGGAGTGTCTGAACCCCGAGGGGCCGAGGTCGACTGACGAGGGATCAAGTCGACCGATGAGGGACCCAGGTATACCAACGAGGGACCGGGTCGACCGATGAGGGACCCAGGTCTACCAACGAGGGACCGGGTCGACCAATGAAGGTCCATGGTCAACTCCCTTCGGTACCGGTTAACCAGTACCCTGATACTGTTTTCTCTTTTGTGGGTCCTGCAAATTGTTTTACGCCAACGTTCGCTCCCCTTCGAGGCCCCTGTCTCTCTGGTATCTTTTCCCGGACCCACGGTATATACTCCGAAGCCAGCTGGATTCTGGGGTCCCTATATCGCAAAAACAGCACTTCACCACAGCCGCTCCCTGCACTTGCTCAGCCGTACAAGGGATTGAGCACGCGCATGTCTTCACTTCCTTCGTCACGTAGGTCCTTTACTGCCCCCTTTGTTATCCGTCCATCTCTAACTCATGTCGTGCCAGCCATGTCTTCCCCTGCTTCTGACCCACCATCTGCTGACTTACCGTCCGCTGACCCACCGTCTGAAGAGCCGACCTCGATCGTCCCCGAGCCTTCGGTTGACCCTCCATTCGAAGAGGCGTCCTTGGCCGACCTTCCCGGGCTGGTATCTTCACCGTTGAGTTCTGCCGAAACTGTCGTCGTTGACAGCTCTCCTGTTTTTACCGCTTTGCCTCCTGCCAAGACGGTAGATTCTTCTGCCACGTCGGTCTCCATGGTTGACACTCCGTCTTCCGCGCCAGTCGACGTGCGTGTAGCTCTGCAGGAACTGCAAGCTCTCGTGGACTCACAATTTCATCGCATAGAAGACTGCGAGGGTCGGCTAGGTGTCATTTCCACTTCGGCCACCTTATTGGCCACTCGTTGTGAGCGTTTGGAAGAGACGTTACGCGACAACTCCCGGCTGGTGGTCTAACTCCACGAAGCCCTCAGCGCGAGACGGCACTAGTGGACCGCCTGCGATGGAAGATCGACCACATTCGAAGCCGTTACTCGCTTCTTGCTGCAGAGCTTGATCACGTCGACTTCTCCGATGGGCTACCTTCGGGACCAGCTTCTCCTTCGGCAGCTTCGCCCCCGGCCGTATGTTCCCCTTCGAGGCCGTCGAAAGCTCTTGGTAAACGGTACAGGTGGCCGTCACCCCGTGTACCTGCCAAAGTTTCCAAGCCTCCGAGGC